TTCTCTTATGTCAACTGTGCAGAATTTCCCTTCTGACACAAAGACTTGGACTTCTGGACTGTTCAGTATCCATGGCTCCCACTGATTTTGGTGGAAGCTGCGGGTATTTGGCATAGGTGAAAAGATTAAGGACCTTTTAAACAAACTCTTTCCATTGATATATAGTAAAACGTAACATAAAATACCCTCAGCATAAATGCAGAAAATAAATGTGTAGATGAAGAAAATAATTTAGAACTCAAAATGTCTGGTTTAACTTTTCATTGACCATTTCATTCTCTTAAAAATTGAATATTTCAAAGTTAATATTTAACTTTCTGTGCATTTTGTTGAGAGCCAGTCTTCCCCCTCCAACATGAGAACAGTATTCAGTTAACTTTGGTGAGCCATTCAATGAGACTAGAATTTGGCTTTCTAATAATAGTGCCTTTCAGTACTGACGATATCAAACACTTTAGAAGACAATGACACAGACACTAATCATGCATTAACAGCTCAGACAAATTCCAGTATTCCTCAACAGCTTGTAAAGCTTTGAATACTAAAACCCAGTGACTGCACTCTCTCCTTTAGTAGGAGACTTCCAGAGGATCTTGTTAACTTTTTTTAGTTGTTTAGATAACACTGCCACACTCAACCTCTACTTTATATGAGGAGAAAAAAATAAATTTGAGGCAGAACCATATCAGAAAAGAAACTTAAGTATACTAAAGTTGAGTGTAGAGATAATTGTTATTTAGGGTAGCAAAAAGAGGTATAATGAGGAAAAGGTTGAAATTAGGAATAAAAATTTAGGCTAAATTTTAGGAAAAGCTTTGACAGTGACGTCTGTTCAGGGAAATTGTAGAAATACCATTACTTGGATCCTTTTAAAATAAGTGGACATAATACAAGAAAAAATATTTAGAACAATCCTGCATTTACAGCAGGATGGACTAATGATGTACAATAAGATCTTTCCTATCTCTAATCTCTTAGGGTTTTAGAGTAAATTATGGCCTCTGAATTCTCCTGTCTCTAGAAATTACTATTTTTGGAGGGTTTAGAATGATCACTGACTTACTCTGTTCTCTTGAAGGTAAATTCTAACACTGTCCTTTTTCCTCTACAGAATTCCTGTGCTTATCCTGTACTCTTATCGAGATGACTACTACAAAATTCTGTTTTAGTTCTAAATTCTGAACTAAAGCATCCCACTATTTGGTGGGATGCTTAAATAGCATGTGACTCTACCAAAAGATATATAATCTGGAACCAAAACCATTAATCAAATAATGTGAAATAATTGTTGCACATTCATTATGACTTTTCTGATATAGGAATATGTACTTCATGAAATTTCAGTAAGCTGTGAGATAAAGAGACTCAGGCAATTACTGCCTTTATTTTTTTAGTGTGTAGTGGCCAGCTTCATACTTTGCATTTTTATATGTAAAACGTATTAAAAGTGTCATAAAAAAGTTCAAAATAAATGTTAAATGGTCATGTTTCTTAATGCACAGTCACATTACTGAAAGACACTGTACCTTACACTTCTAAAACTTTTCTTGTAATAGTATTTGCTTGCACAATAATCAGTGTTAAGTAAGGAAAATGGATGGGAAAGTGAAACTGACTCAGCAAAAGAATTGCAGAGCTGTTCCAGAATGTCTATAACTTGCAGCTGCCTTACTACATCAGTTAATGCTGCAGCCTACTGAATAGTACTATAACTAAATTTCTTTTAAAAAAGCCATTTTAAGTAGGTAGCCAGTGTTTTTCAAATATGTATGGCATTAATCATCAGTAGACGGGATAAAAACCCCATGAATGTTCTTACTCAACTGTGATCTTAAAATAAGGGGTCTTACAATCCCCTTATATAACATTCACTGCCTGTGTAAGCCAGCTGCAGATGGTGGAGGAGCAAGAATCAGTAGGAATGAATTTTACAGAACTAATATAAAACAGATCTTTTTGGAACAGAGGACAGGTTTGCTTTGAAAATAAATACCATTGTGTCCCAACAGCTTAAGTACAGAGAGAAAAGCAATAAAATCAGGGGAGAGAGGGAGTGCATTTTAGGAATGATTTTTAAAAGTAAAGGTATAAGTAGACTTAAGATGCCCCAGCAACCCCCCCCCACCCTCCCCCCGTGCATCTAGAGGGGAGTTTTCTAATAGTTACAGACCCACCATTTCCACTCTGCTCTCATTGCTCTTCCTTTATATGGCCGCAGTGACAGCCTCTTCTCTCAGCTCTGAGATCTGGCTGCAGGAAGGACCAAGTTCAGGGAAAGACTTGGCTCAGAGCATACTCAGTACAGATAGCAGCATATTTAGGGAATTTTGCTAACATGCCTCTAAGCATGTCCAATGTTGATTGTTAGAGGCTTATAACCACAGTTAACTCAGACAATTAACTGAAAAAAATGAATCACAATCAAAGTTTTAATTGCACAAGTAAAGAATAAAATACCAATTGAAATGTATTGAATATTGTGGATGTTTTTCTACATTTTCAAATATATTTATTTATTTCAATTACAACACAAATTGAAAGTGAGCACTATACACCTTGTATTCTATATATATTTGCACTGAACAAGAGTATTTTTCAATTCACCTAATACAAGTGCTGTAGTACAATCTCTATCATGAAAGTTGAACTTACAAATGTAGAATTGGGAACAAAAAAAACTGCATTCAAAAATAAAACAATGTAAAACTTGAGCCTACAAGTCCACTCAGTCCTACTTCTTGTTCAGCCAGTCTCTAAGACAAACAAGTTTGTTTACATTTACGGAAAATAATGCTGCCCGTTTCTTATTTACATCACCTGAATGTGAGACAAGGTGTTCGCATGGCACTTTTGTAGCCACCATTGCAAGGTATTTACATGCCAGTGATACTAAACATTCGTATGCCCCTTCATGATTCAGTCACAATTCCAGAGGACATGCTTCCATGCTGATGATGCTTGTTAAAAAAAAATAATGCATTAATTAAATTTGTAACTGAACTCCTTGGGGGGAGAATTGTATGTCTCCTGCTCTATTTTACCCTCATTCTGCCATATATTTCATGTTATAGCAGTCTGATGATGACTCAACACATGTTGATCATTTTAAGAATGCTTTCACTGTAGATTTGACAAAATGCAAAGAAGGTACCAATGTGACATTTCTAAAGATAGCTACAGCACTCGACCCAAGCTTTAAGAATCTGAAGTACCTTTGAAAATTTGAGGACAACAAGGCGTGGAGCATGCTTTCAGAAGTCTTAAAAGAGCAACATTCCAATGCAGAAACTACAGAACCCAAACCACCAAAAAAGAAAATCAACCTTCTGCTGATGGCATCTGACTCAGACGATGAAAATGAACATGCATTAGTCTGCACTGCTTTGGATTGTTATCCAGCAGAACCCATCATCAGCATAGATGCATGTCCTCTGGAATGATTAAAGCATGATGGGACATATGAATCTTTAGCGCATCTGGCACATAAATATCTTGCAACGCCAGCTACAACTGTGCCACGTGAATGTCTGGTCTCACTTTCAGGTGACATTGTAAACAAGAAGCGGGCAGCATTATCTCCTGCAAATGTAAACAAACCTGTTTGTCTTAGTGATTGGCTGAACAAGAAGTAGGACAGGGTGGACCTGTAGGCTCTGAAGTTTTACATTTTTGAATGTCGGTTTTTTTTTTTTGGTCCCAATTCTAGATTTGTCAGTTAACTTTCATGATAGAGATTGCACTACAGTACTTCTATTAGGTGAATTGAAAAATACTATTTTTTTACAGTGCAAATATTTGTAATCAAAAACAAATACAAAATGAGCACCATACACTTTGTATTCTGTGTTGTAAGTGAAATCAATATAGTTGAAAATGTAGAAAACATCCAAAAATATTTAAATAAATGCTTTTCTATTATTAACAGCACGATTAATCGCTTGACAGCCCTACTATAACACAATCAAGGGTGGGTGAAATTTCTCCAGGACAACATCAGACACCTCTCTGATCCCCACCACCTGCAAAGTTTCAAGTCCTTACTCCACACTATAGAGGTGCTAAAACTGTCCCACTGAGAAACTAAGAATCTTTCCTAAACCACAGTTTCAGAAACAGCTAAACTGTGTTAGCTGTAACTTTCCCCACCAAAAAAAACCACAACAGCCCAAGCAGAACCCCAACATGGAAAATTCAAGCCCAAAAGGTTAGCAAAGTTAAGTGAGAACAGGATCTTAGGATGGAAAGGTTTAGGCAATCCTAAACTCTTTGGGGGTAGGGACTGTATTCTTAGTTTGCATTGTGCCTACCAGACCTTGATCCTGGTCCACAACTGGGGCTCCTAAGTGGCATGATAATATAGACCTTCATCCCAGTCCCCCTTATAATTAAGGGTACAACTTTATTTACAGGATTGCTTAACTTTGTCTTTTGTTTGGAGGAGAGGGAAGGGCAGGGGTTTCTGCCACTCAAAAGTCCAGCAGCTTTCCCCATTCTGAGAGTTTCATTGACCCTAGCACAAGTACAGCATTTGGTTTGACTACACAGGTATACAGTGCCTTTATTTAAGCTGCTTACGGTATGGTATGCCATCTTAGTCCTGTACTCAAGTGAACTTTCCAGTGCTGCAGTCTCTCTGGCCCTTTATTACATAGCTAGCCTTAGTATGACCCTCCTACATGCTGCTATCAAACTTTACTTTCAGCAAAGAGTGACCAGAGGAATTACCTTCCACTTACTCCAGGGGAGGGGCCACTAGTTTTTTAGAACAGAAATTATAGACAGCTCAGAATGCTACAAGAAAATTCCATACTTATTTATACAAGTACAAAAGGTCACTATGTTTGTGCAGGAGGAGGGGTTTTAATGCCTGTATCACTACTTGTAAGTAGTACAAGACCTGTGTGACTGGCTTGGATCCCCACTGTAAACATGGACTAGTATATGATCAGACTAATCATTCACTAAAGACCAATACAATTACAGTAGTCATTTCAACCAAATTCATTTCTGATTGTTTAATAGGAACAAGCAAATAATACTATATTTACAGTTTTCAGAGTGGTAGCAATATAACCATTCAAACTAAGAATCACCCAATAATGAGACTTTTACTAAAACAGTCATTGCACTGGTAACGTGAAGCTGTAGGACTTGCTTTTTTTGGTCATGACCTCTTAACCTCCAACCACTTCTAGAAGCTAAAATAGAAAAAAAGTCAATGTTCCCACTAATTCTCAACTTCCTTACTTAGTTTACATGAAGCTTATCTACAGAATTAGGCTTTCATTCACTAAAGATCTATTCTTACTTTGCCCTTGTGACCACCCACTGCATCCCCCAAAACAGTTTACACTGACTATCCTGTGTAACAAAACACAGCAGCTGAGAGTGAAGAGGTTTCAGTCTAATCCTGTGAATGTTCCTGCCAAATAATCACCTTTTATTTTCATTTTATTTAAGTGAAGGTACTATTCACATCTCAGTATTCTACTGCCAAAAGAAAGTGTTGACTTAGGAAAAAATGGACTTTGAAGGCTAGAATGCAAGTCATGCAGTGATGGAAAGACATTCTGTTCCATCACTGGGTTGCTTTACTTTTCTTATTTTTGCTTTTCTTGTCTTTCTTCTTCAGGCCATCCATGTTAGCTCTCAACAGGTTGGAATAGGCCTGCAATCATGAAATAAGCATCTTTAAGATAGACCAAATACTCAGAGGCAGTGCACTGGAGTCAAAAATAAAAATTATCTAAAATCTCCATTTTAGATAACCTATATTTCCACATAGCTCCTTTTTACAGAATGTTCAAACTCATCAGGAAACCACCCTTTTCTTCCCCACAATGACAAGAGTTAAATAAGATGCTTTGGAGAATTTCATGCAAATGGAGAGACCATATACATATCAAGATATGGAAGCATCTGTCCTATAATTTTAAATATTTAACCAACCCATCCATTTAGGGATGGGAGAATGATTTGTAGCTTTCCATGGCTTATCTTAAATTATTGAATATTCCTCCTTACAATACAGAAAACAAAAAGAGAAGAAGAGAGAGAACATAGGAAACTTACCATCTGGAATTTATTTACTTCCTTTGAGCTGACCTGTGAAAAGCAAATTCGGGTGTTAAGCATAAAATACTGGAAACATTTTATCCTAGGACTAAAAATTTCAATAGACATTTTCCTGTCAGTTAAACACTAGGTCCCACCTAGCAGCACTTATGTCTGATCAAGTGATCACATTCAATCTCATGAAGAGTTGGCATCAAAATAGGTTCAGAGACCACATGTGGAGGGGTAACAGGAAAGTACTCTTGGTAACAGATCTAGTTTTTTGGAGGACTATTCCCTCTCCTACCACCACCAATGTAAGTCACCTCTTAGTAAAAGGGTAGCATTTCCTCTCCAAATCTATAAACTTTCAAACAGTGAACAATCCTCAATGTAAAGTCCCAAGCCAATTACATCTGCTTATTCCAGTGTCTTCCACTTCTGTCTAGATTACAGACTAAATTATCCTGGCTAGTTTTTCAACATAATGTACTCTCTTCAGATTCCTTTTCATTCATTTGTGACATTCATTCAAGTTCTCCCACAGCACATTCAAACTCTCTCGGGAACACTGAGCCCCATATCTCCAGCATCCAAATGCCCATGCTATCTTCATATGCCCAAGCTATGACTGCTCTCAGACCTGACACTGATGGTTTATTCACCACATGTAAAAATTCCAGACAATGCTACATGAGCTAAAGTTCGCCTTCAGCCTGAATGATGCAGGCAATTATTTCAGGAACAAACTAGTTTGCACGCTCTCTCTGACCCAGATTTGCTACTTACCACTGTGCTAATCTTCTTCTTCCCATCCGTTGCTCTCAGAAGACATTTATTGTCCGCTGGCTCAAAACCTTCCACATGGCCCTTACGTGGAATGGGTTTTGTTCTACCATCATCTGTGTTGAAAACCAAAGGCATGTCATAATCTGTTTATCCAGATTTTATTAAAACAGATACATTTTTCCAAACTCTCAGTGCATCAAGAGGATGCCAACCACCACCACCAACAACAACCTATATACCACTAGCTTGTAAAGCAATTTGGAATCCAAGACACCATATCAAAGATTTTTCTGCACAGGTTATACCCTGAAGCTATGCAGCATATGCCTCCCCTCAGGAATGGATAGTGAGCTATTTTGCTGGCCCAGTTCACCTCCTCTCTACAGCATTTATAAATCTGAGAAATAAAATGTCCATAATATCTTTTAAAAAGTTCCAATGAGAGCTGTTCAACATTTCATTGCAATGTTTAAATTTCAAACAGTGCATCACTAACAATCTGAAAGTGAAACAACTTGACTTTTCTTTGCCTAAACTGAGAGAAATGGAAAAAGTACACAAAGAGCATAAATCGCTTCACCTGGATTTTTTAAACTCTTATTTAATGATAACGGTATTAGGAAAAGGAGAACTTTGATTTAAACCAACAGTGTTCCTTTAATCCAATATAAAGGCACTGATACTTACATTTTTTCAGTGTTATGTAAACACTCCCTGAGGTTCTGCATTTTTGAAAAAGCCTTGTTAGTTCTGTCAAGAACTGTAAATGAAAGAAGAGACCCATCTCTGGTTAAGACCACTGGGGGAGGAGGGAAGAGGGCAATAGACATGGAAGTTTTCTGCTAGGTAGCAAATATTGCCATTCTCAATGTAATTAACGGCAGATGTCTCATTAAAGTAGCATTCTTACAACACAATGCTTCCCAGCAACTTATACACAGAATTTGCATGGATTAAACCAGTGCAGGTGTTGTATGAAGAAAGTATTTATATAACTTCCTTCACCCAAAAGACAGAGGGAACTAAGCTATTTAAAGTAGCTTAGATGGGAACACTGTTTTTATCAACAATGTTTTGTAAAATCTAGACGTTAGTAGCATCCGTATTATCATTACTATGTTCTTTTATAACAGTTTATATTTTTAAAATCAGAGGAAGACACTCCAGCTTGATTTAGACACTTTCTTGAGCGTTTGCAAACCAAGCAGAACAGCAATTTGCTGGCATGAGAGAACCTGAAAGTCAGGCCGACCCCTCGGTGTCTGTCCCTGCTGAGCGCAATGCCAGGGGGAACCAACCCCGCAGCTGGTGAAAGGGACACTAAGAGCCGGTCCGCCGCAGCGCTACTGTTCTTCAGCTGGCCAAGGCCCCTTTCAAGCAACCGCTGCCTGCAAGCAGACCGACAAGCGCAGCCGAAGCCCCGGGCTCTTAGGCGAGGCCCGGAGCCTTGCCGGCCCCTGGGGTTTATGGGCAGGGCAGGGCAGGGGACACCTTGCCCCGAGGACTGTGTCCAGGTGCCCACTGAGCGGCCCGGCCCCGCGGGGACCCGTACATGCCGCACGGGAGCGGCTCCGCTCTGGACAGAGGCCGAAGGGGCGCCCGGCAGCCCCCGCCGGCCTGGGGCCCATGGAGCGGGATGGGCCGGGGGCAGCGCCGCGGGGCCTGGCCCGCACCTGCTCGCTCTCCAGCAGCACCATCGCGCCGACCCGCCGCCGCCTGCCCCGGAAGCGGAAGAGCCGCTCCGAGCTCGCACCATGGACCGCGGGGCGGGGCAGCTGCTCCCTGCCGCCCCCGCGACGCAGCCTGAGAGCGCCTGGGGCGGGGGGACTGTGCTACGGGTCCCGCCTGAGGCCGTCCCGGGACGCTGCAGCCTCGGCCCCGGGCGTCTCCCTGTCAGCCCGGCTGGGCTCGGGGGTCCTGGGGAGCCGCCGTGTGCGCGCCCCCTCCGGCCCTGCTCCCTTTGAGCGGTCTCGGGCGGGGTGGGCACAGTTAGGGTGACCAGATCAGCAGTCCAAAATATCGGGATGGGGGGGAGGGGGAAAAAAGGGGGCGGAGCAAAAAAAGTGGGTGGAGCAAAAAAAAAAGGCGTTTAAAAGGGGCCAGGGGCATTAGCAGGCCTTGGCCCCGTGCGCTGCACTCCCCGCGGAGCCTCCCGCCCCCCCGGCCGCCACGGGCATATGCGGCACGCGGTGGATCCGGGCAGGGGCAGCGCGGAGCGGGCAGGAGCTGGGTGGGCGGCAGGGG